TTGCAGTATCTTATTACCTGGGTATCTAACCTTCACCGATGACTTGTCGCCAAGTTTGACTTCGACCTGTAACCACGTTTACCATCTGCGCACAGTTGGGGATGTTTAGAAAGCCGCCCGCGGGCAGAGTTATGTCGGGAAAACGGCCAAACCTGCCGGGTTCGGAGCCGATCATTGGCCTACTTTCCCAAGGACAGAGGGTCTGCATGGGGAGATATGGCAACCCTTAACGGTAAATTGACTCAACTGTTCTCAAACTGTGATCTTGAATAGAGAGTCTTGTAGGGTAGAATTGTCTATATCGAGCCGAATAGATTGGCTTTGATCCGGCCTGGAAACGGATTGGCTTTGATCCGGCTTGGCTTGGAACCGGATTGGCTTTGATCCGGCTTGGAACCGGATTGGCTTTGATCCGGCTTGGAACCGGATTGAAGCCGAGTCAAAGTCATGGTGGGAAAAGGTAACACTCAGGTAACTCACCTGTTCCCAGACTATGGTCCTGTTTGGGTAGAGTCTTGTAGTATCTGTCGTTGCCCTTACGTCTCTCCCAGTCCCACGAGTCATCCTGTGCCTGCTTCAGCGAGCACAGGCCCTGCTCGAACGTGCAGTCAGCCTTACCTAATAAACAAACAAACAGATAAATAAACAAATAAACATTGGGAAACGTAGTAATAGTAAGATAGGTAAGTTTCGTAGTATTGTTGTCTTACTGTGACACATCGAGTACGACGTCGAGAAATACAGCCCTAGATATCAGGCCAGTATCGGACGGGCCAAGTTGGGAACGATAATATGAACGAATGAATGAATGAATGGATGGATGGATGGATAGATGGGTGAGTGAGTGAGTGAATGAATGAATGGATGGATGGATATGGGTGAGTGAGTGAGTGAATGAATGAATGAATGGGTGGATGGATGGATGGATGGGTAGGTGGATGGATGGATGGATGGATGGATGAATGGATGAATGAATGAGTGAGTGAGTGAATGAATGAATGAATGAATGTGATCGTTCCCAAGTTGGCCCCTTGCTGTGGGCCCACAGTGAGTCCACCAGTTTGGCCCTCTGCCCGAACAGACGTTCCTGCCAAGACCGGTGGCCAAGAACGTCGGGAACGAGGTTAGACAGGTCAATGCAACTCGTTCCCACAGCTGGGGTGCATTTTGTGGGGGTAATTGTGGCTGCCTGACCCTGGCCTGTAGCTACCGGCTATATCATTCATAGTTGGAACTTTTGGCACACTACATGTGATATAGACCCTGACCTGTAGCTACCGACTATAGAATATATAGTTTTTGAACTTCTGGCACATTGTACAGCGATACCTCAGATGTAATATAGACCCTGGCCTGTACATGTAGCTACAGGCTATAGAATACGAAGTATGAACTTCTGGCACCCTGTACATGTAATATAGACCCTGCGCTACAGCTTCAGGCTTCCTCGAAGACAAATATTCCCTTGTTCTCCTCCAGACGTTGTCATGTCTTTAAGGTGACACCTGATACCCTTACTTCCCGTCTTAAGGTGCCCGTAACACCTCCAGCCAGCAGGAGACTTGAACGAGACCCAGTAAATTATTTTTTTCTTATTTTAGGACCTGCGTGCGAGGGGTTTAATGTCCACAGTGATCAGACAGTTTTGTCTTCAGTGTTACCCGATACCAGAATTATCCGGCGCTTTGACTCAGGCTCAATTTAAAGCTGATAAATCTGTTGTCTTAGCTTATCTTATCTTAGTCTTAGGTGGGAGTGATACTACTTAAGTAACCTAACAGGCCTGCATCGTAAGATGTTGGTTTAACCCAGATGGATTCACCTTGGTGGAGTCTTTCTTAAATCCTTTGGGCTCGTTTCTTTGTCATTCGTTTCACTCACTCACTCACTCACTCACTCACTCACTCACTCACTCAACCACTCACTCACTCACTCACTCTTTCCCATACTTAGTCAGCCATCGGGGCAGCATGATGTTTCGTCCTTCGTTTACCCTTTCGAATTACCTTTATTTTTCCATTTTCTTTTATCCTTCGAAATGTATGATGTAATTATATACTAACCAATATATTTGGGATATATTTCTTTTTTTTTTTTACATATTTTTGACGTGGACTTTTCTGACTATTCCCTGAAAGTTCTGCTCTTTGAGTAACCTACCAGACTCTAACATGACCAGATGGACTTATTCAACTTCGTATCGTCTTTCTTTTTCTCCATTGTTTTGTCTCTTATTCCTTTCTCCCATACCACTTCACTTCTATCGTTCTACATACATGATTAAACAAACCGAGCAATTATAATTATAATGTTAAAAGTTGAAGAAGATAATTGTTCACTGATAAATGTCCATATCTTTAGTTTTTATGTTTGTCTAAAACTTCTGTAAGTTGAAAAGATGTGACCTACCCGTGAACCTTTGCGCGTGCAGACAGGGCAGCAGGACGACCGTCAAGGTCACCAACAGCAACATGGCGGACTGGAGTCAGGTTACCGGCGGCAAGAGGGAGTCTGGGAACGGAAAAATAGAGTGTGTCAAAAATTCTTCAAGCACAACTTGATTCAACAAAAGTGAATAATTAGCAGCATTTTCAAACAGCGCGGGTGGCCAAACGAACCTGGGCAATTACTATTTTCTTGGCTAAAATTTTACTGCTTTTTATTATACAAACTCATGTTGCTGGTCTTGTAGAAACCATAAACTTGAAATCATTACAAAAACAGACTTCTACTGTCAAAGGCAGGATGTTGTGAGAACCACCCGGTCAGAAAAACTGGGACAGACAGGCAGACGAGTTATGGAACAGGGCAGAACAATATACTAGTCTCTACCAGACCGACTAACTACGCTGGCTATATAGGAGAATATTTGCCAGGGGAGTTTGGCCGCCTTGTAGGTTTGACTTCAGAGGAGGGAAAGAAACTACCTCCCCGCGGCCGGACTCCCTTGGCCAATTTTACTCTCTTTTTTTACCGAATTCTACGATCCGCATTCCCGTAGAAAGGCCTGATGGAGGCTAGCAATAAACAGTGAACTTCCAATTTGTGTCCTAACATTTGTCATCCCTTAGTCATTTCAAATCTAGGCATCTTGCTTTTTTCGGCCCTTCTTTTTTTCATTTTTGGGATCTCGCATCAGATTTAGGGTCTCCAGACGACGTCATCCATAGACATTACTTGGCGTGGCCTAATGTCAAAGGCAGGATGTTGTGAGAACCGCCCGCTCAGAAAAACCAGGACGGGCATTACAGTAGCCTGACTAAATCGCGCTCCTGGCGGCCGCCGCCCTAGGTTGCCGCCCCCCAAAATTGGGGTGGGGGTCATTAACCTCCAGCCGAGAGCTTGTGTATACACAGGCTAGGCATTACAGGATTTACGGGAACAGGGCAGAACAACAAACAGTGAACTTCTAATTTGTGCCCTAACATTTGTCATCCCTTAGTCATTTCAAATCTAGGCATCTTGCTTTTTTCGGCCCTTCGTTTTTAATTTTTGGTATCTCGCATTAGATTTAGGGACTCCAGAGGATGCCATCCATGAAAATTACTTGGTGTGACGTACTGGTTGTCACGCCCTGTTGTGTGTGGCTCAAGAGCTACTGAACCAGAGATGGGCGCCGCCCTATGCACCGCGTGGTGCGGGAAGGAACTAATTTAACGTAATGTCAAAGGCAGGATGTTGTGAAAACCGCCCGGTCAGAGAAACTGGGACGGGCATGTACAGGATTTACGGGAACAGGGCAGAACAACAAACACTGAACTTCGACATTTAAACACCGAATTCTGTGTCAGGTATCCGGGCAGGGGGAAGTCATAGTGGGGGAGCACGTACTGGTGGTAAAAGTTTTCAGAAAGAAAGTCTAAAGAAAGAATGGTGTACCGGTGAATGTTTCTGGGTTTGATTTAATCTATTGAAATTGCAACAGTGCAATACACGCGGAACACAGGCAGCTGTTGCTGGTGTTGTGTCCCGCACATAGAAACGAATACTGGACAGACAATACTCATTTACACCTGAGCGAAGTGAGGAAAGTCGCGTAAAGTGCCTTTCCCAAGGGCACAAGATCGGTGGCATGTCAGGACTCGAACCCCGGACCTCTTGGTTCCGAGTCGAGCACTCTGCCGCTATGCCACACGACCCACGCTCGCGTTTCGTAGCCAAGCATACCGGGTCGCCCCCTCTCTTCTGTATATTAAAGTTTAAACAGTTACAGTGTTTAATCCCCGGGGTTATCCAAAGGGTTATCAGCCTTATCTGAGCTATTAACGGGAGGATTTTGTGAATGTGGGTCAGGCTGGAGAGAAGTGACGACAGACGGGACCGGGATGGGCCGCGGGGAGAAACATGAACCTACACTAAAGACTCCGACGGGACGGAACATTTCTGTCGTATCCAGAACCGTGTTTTATCCAGAACTATGCTCAGACACGGTTCTGGATAGTCCGCGCGTATCCAGAATCGTGCCGGGGGTGAATGTACGTTCCTGGATACGCAGAGACTATCCAGAACCGAGCCTGATCCTAACCCTAACCCATTCAGGCACTGAAGTGGATAGGCACGGTTCTGGGTACGATAGAACGCAGACAGGCCACGTGTTGAGACGAACTTGTCGAAAGCACAGTAGCAGCGTCGCTTACATGGCAACATTATTCTGGATGCCAGACGCATTGGATGCGATATAAAATATATTTCTTTATCAATGCTACTCGTCTGAATGAGAGTTTTGACCGCTCAACGCTCACCCCCTTATTGGAAAAAAGGGTTTAACGGTATATTCAGAATTTCAACTACAGACGCACAAACTGGAGGCATCAAAGATCATCAAAGCATTCTAGCTTTGTAGCTTTGGCGGTGAGTATTGAGTTCTGGTCCAAAATCGCGGTCGGCCGGACTTCGGGTCAGTTCACATTGTTGTAGGTTGTAACATGAGTGTCCGGTATGATCGGACCTCGGCGGAGTATTCAACACAGACGTACGCGGTTTGATTTATCGGCAGACCTCGGCGGAGTACCACAAATGTGCGTCCAACAAGTAGTTTACTCAGTTCAAACCGCGCGACGCTTGACTTTCTACTGGATCCGAACTTTCTACGTGCATGCGGGGGTGGACTAGTCTATATTGGACCTTTTCGGGTGACGAACAAATGGTAAAAATAGTCCTAAATTCGTGAATAATTTGACTTTGGGTCTGATGCAACTTGACCTTTTGTTGATTGGATAAGCTATATAGTATTACAAATCATCACCTTTTTTTGCTTTATCAACAATTTCTTTCGACGCCCAAAATGCTTTGATGGAGACCATGGGTATTGGGGCATACATGAGGGTCTACAAGGGGGGATGCTGTAACAGTAGATTTAATTAATCTGCGAACATCCAGCCTAAACTACTGTTTGGATAATCTCCAAGCAGATCCCTTTCGGTGGCAAAAAGACAGTATCAAATTGGCCAGGCAGTATCCATTAGCCAGAGAAGGTCGCCGGCGCAAATTTCCGTCTCGTAAACGGTCGCCGCCTTTCCGATCAGTCGTCGCTATTTCAGAGGTTGGTGGGGGTACCGACAAAAAGGGCCATATATAAAAGGCTAACGATCATTCCCCCACAACCTCTGCTTGGAGAGTACTGTTTAGAGACCTTTGGAGAGTACAGTCGACAGTGAAAGATCGGCCGGGCCACGTGGTAAGGTCGCCCTGACCCAAAACTGCCTGCTAGAACACAGACCTGAACTAACATCGCACAAATGTCACTGTCTGGATGGCACGACACGATAGGGAACCAAAAATTGAATCTGACTTCTCTTAAAACTAACCGCTGTAAAAACTTACAAGATTAAAGCAGAGAATATTAGCGTCACAAAAATGACATTAAACTGACGGGCGTTTTCTATAGTACGCCGTGACCCAAAAATGCCTGTCGAGAACACAGGCCTGAACTAACATGGCACAAATGTCACTGTCTGGGCGACCCAAAAATGGAACAGAAATTGTCAATGAATTTGATTTCTTTTAAAACTTCTGGGAAATGCGTAGCTTAAAGTACAGAATATTCGCGACACGAAAATGACATTAAACTGTCTGGTACATCGGCTGTTGTCAGCATTCTAGTTTTATACAAAAAGAGTGAGTGCAACATCATACAACAACGTCATAACCGTAGGAATGAAAAATCAAAAGGCAGTAGATGGTACATGAAACGTTTGACCGTTTTCAGCATCTATCTAGTTGCTTGAGCAACTTAGGGGAAAATGCTCAGATTCAGAATCCGATGAAAACGACTTGCAGAAGGAAATTTTATGATCTGCAAGCAGATCTAAAAGACGGCGCCAAATTGGCAAGACAACATCCAATACGACATCTTAGCTTGGCTGGCAAATATAAAGATAACGGTACAAAATAGAAAGCCCCGTAAAAATGCCTAAAACATGTCAAAAATAAGCCAAAGCCTAAACCTGTGCTTGAAGAGTAGAACTAGAAACTTTTATCACTCACCGAAGGATGCAGGTATTTCTGCTGTAGGTTTTGAGGTGAGCTGACTGGCCGGTGAGTCGGTCGTGCCCAGAAGTGGACGATTTTGCGGAAAATCCGCCGTTTTATAGGATAAGGCGTTAATTATGGAGACCAGGTGGCGGGCGTGTCACAGCCGCCAGGGGGCGTGGCTTATAGATGATTGATGGAGTCTCAGGCTGTCACGAGGGCCTGCATGGGGTTGACGTGATTATGAATGACGCAAAATTTACGCAAATTTTACGAATTACGTTAAATTTTCAGACTTGATACGCGTTACAGCTAATGTGCTGATCACGAATTACGATGATTTTTGGGGAGGTTGCCTAGAGATCACGATTATACGAAGACTAAAAAGGCCTGATTACGCCTTACGAAAAACGACATGCAGACCCTCCGTCGTGGGAGGGGGATGGGGGGTGAATGTCCGTGAAACTAGAGATTTTGTCTATTCAGCGTCTGGCCAGTCCAAGGCCGGGGCAAACCGGTCCTGGGTTTGCCATCTGGTAGACTCAGGTTTCTGCCAAGTCTATCTGAAGTCCGTCTTCTTAAGTCTGCCAAGGTCTCTACTCTACGCTACCAGACTTCACCTAATAAAGCAGCTGAAAGGATTAGAAATTGGACAATTAGACAGATATTTAACATGGCAGGGGAGTTGGTCAGCTAATTATCAAAGAGCCAAATGTGCTCCTTGAGCGGACCAACTCCCATGGCAAGTGATCTGTCTATTTGGCCAATTTCTACTCTCTCCTCCCGCCTCTGAATCCGTGCTTTATCCTGGATAGTCACAGAAGAAGAAGATTATTATAATGCATGATGAAAAGTCAAAATTTTCCAGACACTTAGAACCCAAATATAAAATGTTATGTCAGTCCAAGGCCGGGGCAAACCGGTCCTGGGTTTGCCATCTGGAGAGTCGGGTTTCTGCCAAATCTAAACTTTGCCAAGGTCTCCCAGGCTCCAGAAACTAATCTCCAAGCAGATCTTTTGGTGGGGGTAAGACAGTA